CTCACAGCATCGAAGTATGCTGAGTCACTCACTAAGAGTTTCAAGATTCCTACAAATTACGTCGCTACACCTTATCGATCTACACCCACCGGGCACATCCTAAACAACACCAAACTTTCAGCAGCTGGCCTACAACTGTACCAGCAGCAACTTGGGTGTCTTCTCTTCGCAGCAGTCACATGCCGTCCCGACCTTGCTTACGTCGCAAGCTATCTCGCACAGTTTATACGCTGCCCAAAAGAAGAACACCATCTCGATCTTCAGCGCGCTCTACACTACTTTGTCGCAACACCAACAGTCGGGCTGATTTTCAACACAGGAAAACCGACCGACAAAATGTACCTCAGCAGATATGTCGACGCAGACCACGCTGGTGACACGTCAGATCGTCGGTCACAAACAGTCTACATCTTCCGTCTCGAGCCAATTTGCCCGATCTCGTGGAACTCATCGAAACAGGAACTCGTGTCACTTTCCTCGGCTGAAGCAAAATTCATTGCCGCGTGTGCTGCAACCCGAGAAGGATTATACTTACAGGAACTGTTCGATGAAGCAAAGTTCGTCACGCCGAATCAGTTCACGTTGCAGTGCGACAACCAGAGTGCAATTACCATCGCCAACAAGCCCGGCTTCGTCAATCGCACGAAACACATCTCACTGCGTTACTTTTTCGTCAAGGATGCGATCGACAAGGGGAGAATGCGTCTTGTCTACTGTCCCACTGGTGACATGGCAGCTGACTCACTTACCAAGAAACTGACACGACAGAAATTTCACCACTTCAACCAACTCAGCGGTGTTTCTGAGGCAACCGGGTAACTACACCGAACTCCTAGAAGTGAAGGGGAGTGTTGAGATAATATCGAGACTTAAGCACTTCAAGGAATTCGTGTAGTACAGTTAGTACAGTGCGAGACTTCGCACGTAATAGTAAAGTACCGATAGGCTGACGTAAGCAAAGCGCTACGCACCCTAGGATGACGTCAGCACGTAGCTATAGGCCTCGCAAATAGTCACGTACCGTTTTAGAACACGAATAGCGTGAATAGCACAGTACAGTATGCGAATAGGTACTTTACTCTAGCTATATATTCTGTATGTTTGTCATTTTATAATATATATGATTTCAGAGACATAGATCCTGAAACATATCACTACATGGGCTTTCATTAGTCCAGACAAAGCCTCCTACACTGGCTTTAAACTCATACAAAGACTTCCGCTACGACAGGAAGCTACCATCCTAAGTATACGATCCTATTCAATCATTTCAAATTCTAACAGTTCTCACATACTATTACAAAGTGGTTCACTCAATCCACTATTACGCTTCCGTTAAATACATCACTACTCTTAGTGTTTAGTCTTGAACGATCCTAAGGACTTTTTTAGCCCAACAAAAAGAGCTTGTTAAGTAGCGGGTCAGTGCGCCCATAACCCCCCAGGACAACGAGCCTGTAACCCTTCCCTAAGATCAATCGGGAATCACCAGTGGACCTCTGACAATATTAAGTACTTGCAGCGCACATGAAACCTTATCAGGCCCCCAGAAGTCTGCGAAATTTTGTGAGGGTGTGGGGGAGCCAGGGGAGTGGCATGTGGGTGGCGGGTGGGACACCATCCAACCCCTCGTCCCTCTGAGGTGGGGGGGGGGGGGGGGAGGAGAGTGAAGGAGTGGCAGGAGTGCCTGCCCCTTTGCTGCTGTACCTGCTTTGTTACCTTGCCTGCTGTTGCTGTTTTCTCTGTTCGTGGTGTACCCATCCAGGATGTGTCGCTGCACAGACTCCTGCTTCTGGCACTTATGGGGGAGTGTTAGAATATATCTGTAACTGCCTGTAGCTGTAGTTAGTGTAGTTATTATAAACTTGTTGGTGGTGCACCTTCTTTGCATCCTTTGTTTGCTATATGTACCCCAGTGCTATAGTGAACATCATTCCTCTTCTCATTCTCTCGACTCTCGCCTCCTTGGCACCAACCATCTCGACCCCCTTTGGCCTAGGCTACTAAGCCTAGGCCCAATCAACCTAACCACTCTTGCTACTATTTCGACATGGCATTAGAGCCTATTACGTCCTGGCCTGTGGGCCAGCCTCACGCTTCCGCAGCTGTGTTTTCGGTCGCGCGCCTCGGGCGCGTGGCGATTTTCGTTCTGTCCCGCGCCCGGGTGGCGCGTGACGTTTTTTCTGCCCTGAGCCGTAGCGGATCTGCCCCTGGCGCCCGCGACGGTGTTCTGCCTGCCTGCCCGTCGTGCGCCCCGTGGCGCGCGACGGTGCCCTGAGCCGCCGCGGACCCGCCCCTGGCGCCCGCGACGGTGCCTTGAACCGCCGCGGACCCGCCCCTGGCGCCCGCGACGGTGCCTTGAACTGCCGCGGACCCGCCCCTGGCGCCCGTGACGGTGGCCTGAGCCGCCGCGGACCCGCCCCTGGCACCCGCGATGGTGCCCTGGGCCGCTGCGGACCCGCCCCTGGCGCCCGCGACGGCGCCTCTGCCTCACCTCGCACCTGCCTTCGAGCAGCCGCCCCTGACTCACCCGCGTCTGCCCTCGGAGCAGCCGCCCCTGCCTCACCCGCGCCTGCCCTCGGAGCAGCCGCCTTTGCGTCACATGCGCCTGCACTCGGTGCAGCCGCCCCTGCCCTTCCCTGTGCGCCACCCCTCTGTGGCCGTGGGGCGGCTTCCCCCCAGCAACCCCCCCCCCCCCCCCTCCTCCTTCTCTCTGCTGCGCGTGCAGCCGTGGGGGGGAGGGTATGGAGGTGGCGGGTATGGGGGTGATGGGTGTCTGTGATCCCCTTCCCCTCCTCCTCCTTTCGTTCCCACTGCTGCAGCTGCCGCTGGGGGGAGGGTGTGAGGGTGTGGGGGAGCCAGGGGAGTGGCATGTGGGTGGCGGGTGTGACACCATCCAACCCCCCGTCCCTCTGAGGTGGGGGGGGGGGGGAGGAGAGTGAAGGAGTGGCAGGAGTGCCTGCCCCTTTGCTGATGTACCTGCTTTGTTACCTTGCCTGCTGTTGCTGTTTTCTCTGTTCGTGGTGTACCCATCCAAGATGTGTCGCTGCACAGACTCCTGCTTCTGGCAGTTATGGGGGAGTGTTAGAATATATCTGTAACTACCTGTAGCTGTAGTTAGTGTAGTTATTATAAACTTGTTGGTGGTGCACCTTCTTTGCATCCTTTGTTTGCTATATGTACCCCAGCTTGCAGCACCACGATGCCTTGCGCATTTGCGCGTAGTTGTTCGTTGTTGGCAACATGTCAGAATCCCAACCACTAGACCATTGGGATAAAAGGGCTTGTTAAGTAGCGGGTCAGTGCGCCCATAACCCCCCAGGCCAACGTGCATGTAACCCTTCCCTAGGATCAATCGGGGATCACCAGTGGACCTCTGACACCCCCCCGCACTGGGATGCCCGAAGTGCATACACCGGGATTCGAACCCGAGACCTTCGCTCTGATACCATGTCAGAATCCCAACCACTAGACCAATGGGATAAAAGGGCTTGTTTCAGTAGCGGGTCAGTGCGCCCATAACCCCCCAGGCGAACGCGCCTGTAACCCTCTCCAGGATCAATCGGGCATCCACAGTGCAGATCTACTGACACCCCCCCACACTGGGAGGCCCAGGACTAAGCACAGCGGCAACGGCCTACATGTGCATACACCGGGAATCGAACCCGAGACCGCTCTGATAACATGTCAGAATCCCAGCCATTAGACCACTGGGATAAAAGGGCTTGTTTCAGTAGCGGGTCAGTGCGCCCATAACCCCCCAGGCGAACGCGCCTGTAACCCTCTCCAGGATCAATCGGGCATCCACAGTGCAGATCTACTGACACCCCCCCACACTGGGAACATCATTCCTCTTCTCATTCTCTCGACTCTCGCCTCCTTGGCACCAACCATCTCGACCCCCTTTGGCCTAGGCTACTAAGCCTAGGCCCAATCAACCTAACCACTCTTGCTACTATTTCGACAAATTTCGCTGATTTGCCTGAAAAACTCTGACTTTCCAACCTTTTTTTTGTTGTAATGCTGAAAGTTCAGGTTTTTTTTTTATGTGAACTCTGAATGTTCAGGTTTTTTTTATAAGGGGAGGCTGTTTTTTCAGCTTTTTTTTTGCACTGTACTCTGATGCGTCAGACTAGAAACGCGAACCAACGCTGAATTCGAGAACCCGAGATCTGCGGGGATTGTCGTGGTCACCGCTCCATTTACATTATCGTTCTGTCAAGCCCGCCAGTACAGCGAATACATCCAATATTTGGCAGGCAGCGACGTGGTGCGGCGCGGTTCGTTCCCCGTTGGCAATAGGTCACACAAACGTGAGTTGCCGATTGGTTGAGAAGGCAGCTTTCGACAGCGCACTCAACCCTCTTCCTGAACATGAACGTTCTGTACAGCCTCGTGCAGCCACACGTCACTGCACACACCAGCGCAGCGCTAGCTGCGCCTCGTAGATGTCGTGCATGGTAGGCAAAGGGGCACCCACAGGTTGGGGTTTCTTGATGTTCGAAGGGGCCATCTGTCAGAAGACTTGCACTGTGAGATCCCCGATTGATCCTTGGAGGGTTACAGGCCTGTTAGCCTGGGGGGTTATGGGCGCACTGACCCGCTACTGAAACAAGCCCTTTTATCCCAATGGTCTAGTGGTTGGGATTCTGACATGGTATCAGAGCGGTCTCGGGTTCGAATCCCGGTGTATGCACATGCTGGCCGTTGCCGCTGTGCCGAGTCCTGGACCTCCCAGTGTGGGGGGGTGTCAGAAGACTTGCACTGTGAGATCCCCGATTGATCCTTGGAGGGTTACAGGCCTGTTAGCCTGGGGGGTTATGGGCGCACTGACCCGCTACTGAAACAAGCCCTTTTATCCCAATGGTCTAGTGGTTGGGATTCTGACACCATCATCTCTATCGCTTTCATGCACCCCGTACCAAGCCTCTTCCAGTCTGGTTTCTGCGTGAGTGTCTGGGCTTCCTCATTTCTGCTCGGCACGCTCCCAGGCGAACATTATGGCTGTTCAGGAGGGCCTCGTGGCCGATGACGAGGACGACGATTGTGAGACCGCGCTCGAGGATGCTATAACAGGGTTAGATCTATTGCTTAGGTCTCTAGCTCGCGATAAGGGGCCCCGTTCCCCACCTGTTGCTAAGTCGACCCCAGACAACCCTCCACCCCTCGACTTGAGCGAGGCTGATTCTATCGATGCAATGCCCCTCAAGCCTACTGTTGGGTCAGCTCCACACAACAACACAGTGACCCCCACTCCTAAGGATGTGGCACGCAACATCCGCCTGAAGCAAGCAACGCTCAGTTTCGGGAAGTCTTCTGCAACCACTGATGGCGACAACAACCGGGCTGGGCCGTCTAACCTGGAAAAGCCGCGGTGGAAACTCAACCTCGCTCAGCTCATTGACGATGTGTATGAGGATGCGTACGAGAAGTGGCTTGCGACGTGGTCGAGTCGGTTTCCTTGGCTGGTTCTAACTAAAACCGTGGCCGGTTTGCCTGCCTTTAAATGTAGTGTTTGTGCAGCCCACGCTGGTGATGCAGGCAAGTGCGGGAGGCGCGGCAAGGGGGCCACGGACGTTCAGACTCAAGCCTTTCGAAAGCACGCAGGAACTCAAAAGCACAAGCTGGCGATGGCGAAATACACCTCGCTTGTGGACGGCGGCAGCAGGCAACCACGCATCGATCAACACAGGGCGGCATGCGACGAGGATAAGCTGCGCGTCGTCGCCCTGCTGGACTCCTTGCTGTTCGTCAGCAAGTGTGACGCGCCCATGGGACTGTGGGTGAAATTGGTGCGCTACCTGGCAGAGAAGGGTGTGAAGGGCTTCCCCAAGAAGGGTTACGGGACGTACTACACCACGTAAGCTCTTAGTTTTAGTCGCACAAACCTGGGATCTTGTTTCTGTTTTTTTTTTCACCATGCGTGACCTTAACTGATAATGTTGTTGCCTTGTTATCCAGGTACGGTTTCGGGGAGCTTACACAAGCGAGGGTACGGTAGTATACACAATCAGTAATATCAACACAATCAGGCTAATTTTTTTTTTAACTCTGATTGTTCAGCCTTTGCTGTTGGCAGTACACTCCAAGTCTGATCAATCAGCCTAAAATTATGTCACAAGACTGACGAATCAGACAGGCCAAAAACGAATCTGAGGGCCTGAACCTTATATGAATAAAATATTGGCACTGAGTCATGAAAACACACACTGAATCAATATACATTCAAAGATGAAAATTAGGCATGCTGTATATTAATGAAGATTTGTCGTTAATCTATTCAAACAAGCATTGTTCTCATCAATTTTATACACGTTCAAAGGCGGACTAGTGAAAGAAAAGAGGAAAGAGCATTATAGCTAATGGTTATATAAGATAAAGCTGTCATGCTTCTGAATAGTGACAATTCTCGCCAACAACCAGCCTGATGCCCTAACACTCTCCACCGCACTGACCACACCTCTTGAAGTTGCCGCGCATCGTATTTGATCACTGTAATCTAAGGGTTACGCTCACAAATTTCTTGTTATAGCTCACAAACCGCTTCAAATTGCACAAAATCGTATGACACCGAGTTTACCGACCAGAAAGTGAACTCGACTGCGGGTCTGTTGCCAAGATTGCTTGTTTTCCTATCTTCTCGTTGCTTCGGCTGGCTTGTGCTTGAAGTTCTCGCTGCCATTGCCAAGCAGCTGAGAAGCTCAAAGCCACCGTAGACCTTTCAGGCAATTAGCTCCAGATGCCTTCACGCTAATTCTACAACGTACACGCGCTAAGGGTGTACGCAGGCTGCACGTCGGCGAGAGTTCCGCTACGGACGTTGGTGGGAGTTCCGCTGAAAGGCTGCTGCTAGCGTGAGGGTCATGAGAAGCAGCGAGAACGAGGCAGATAGTTTGAAATCCGGAGGCGGAGCCGAAAGTAGTCACGCAATGGGTCGCGAGTATGGCCGACCGTCGATGCCCTGGCGACTGTCTGGCCCCTGGCTCAGGTGATAATACCAGATACGCGTAATTCATGACTGAAACGTGATTTTAGGGAAGCCCTTCAGTTCAATTCTTCAGATTATACCCCAATTACGGGGTCGGTTCCGTTTACAGTAACGTCGCGTTCCGTATCGAATGGTGGTGGTTAGGAGCATTACATCTCGGTGATGCGAGCCTCACTAGCAACTGCTTAGCAATTGTGAGAATTGTGTGTTAGGACGTAATTAGGAACCGTTTACCGTAATTAAAGTGCTTCCTTTCAATGACGTCTGCTTGTGATACTTCCAGTGCTTCCGCTCCCCCATTCCGTTGTTCCCTCCGCTGATTGCACCTTTATCCCCCTCAGTTCTTTCAGCGGCCTGCTTGCAGTGTTCAACGCAGCCTTCCGCAACCTTTAATGGAGTTTCTTGTCACAAACGAGGCGGCCGTCCGTGAAGTGCTTTTCAACCTTCTCCCTCCCTTCTCATTCCTCCTTTCCCTTTCATTTTTGCGTCTGCCTCCCTGCATCCATTCCGCCCTCCACTCATCCCAGAGTGGCCTGACGGTGTTGTCTTGCAGCCTGACGTCAATGGCCATGGCGTTTCTCAACAAAAACTTGCCACAACACAACGGCTCACTCACAAGTCCTCACATCCCCTGCGACATCCATCCCTTGGTTCTCCCCATTCACCTTCTCCCTGGCATCCCACAGCGGCCTGGCAGCAGTATCATACGGCCTGGCGTCAATGGCCATGGTGTTTCTCAACAAGGGCGTGCTCACCTATTACAAGTTCAGCATGACGCTGCTAGCGCTGCAGGTGAGCTTGTGTTGGTTTGCGGCTGTTGTCACATTCTAATGCATGCTTTTCAACAAGGGCGTGCTCGCCTATTACAAGTTCAGCATGACACTGCTAGCACTGCAGGTGAGCAGGATGTCCGCGACTGGTTCAGGTCCTAGGGCGTGTTTCTCAACAAGGGTGTCCTCACTTATTACAAGTTCAGCATGACAACACTGCAGGTGGGTGGGCAAACGGGTGGTTTAATGATTCAGGGGTTGTTTGTAAGGGTTCAGGAATTGATCCAAGGGTTAGAGGTCGGTCCTCTCCCCCTCCTTCCTTCCCCAACCCTACTCCAGGTCACTCTCTCAGTCTCCCTCACGACATTCGGCTGCCTCAGGGTTCAGGAATTGATCCAAGGGTTAGAGGTCGGTCCAGTAAATGTAAATGTTACATTTAGAGCGTATTCCTCAACAAGGCATTCAACTACTACGAGTTCAGCATGCTGCTTCTGACGGTTCAGCATATTCCTTCCCCTCTCCACTTCCGCAGGCAACAGCGCTGCCTTCATCATTCTCCTTCATTTTGTTCTCCCGCCCACACACTGCTCCCCTCCCTCCCCACCCCCCAGATGATTGCCACAACAGCTCTGATTTACGCAGCTGGGAAGCTCGAGTGGATCACAATGTGCCCATTCTCCCTCTCCGCCGCGCGTCGCCTGCTGCCGCTCTCCTTCTTCTACAACGCCAACGTCGCCTTCGCCCTCTCCTCCTAACAGGCCATCAGCGCCCCGTCCAACCCTTTCATTGAGGGGCCCTTATAAAAAGCCTGTCCCCCACTGTTAACCTCTCCCTCCCGCCCCCTCTCCCAGATGATCGCGACAACAGTGCTGATTTACGCAGCTGGGAAGCTCGATTGGCTTACCATGCGCCCATTCTCCCTCTCCACGGCCCGTCGCCTGCTGCCACTCTCCTTCTTCTACAACGCCAGCGCTGCCTTCGCCCTCTCAATTCAACAGGGCATCACCACCCCCCAGGGACCAGCCCTTCCATTGGGTCTTGATGGAGACGCTTTTTAAAAAGGCCTGTCACTCTCTTTTTCTTTGTGCTCTTAATTCCTTCCCCTCACTCCCCCTCTCCCCTTCCTACACACCCCCCCCACGCCAGATGATAGCAACAACAGCTCTTATTTACGTTTGCGGGAAGCTCGAGTGGATCACAATGCGGCCATTCTCCCTCTCCACCGCGCGCCGCCTGCTGCCACTCTCCTTCTTCTACAACGCCAACGTCGCCTTCGCCCTGGCGAGTCTGCAGGGTGTCAACATCCCCATGTACATTGCTCTCAAGCGGTTGACGCCCATGGCTGTGCTCATAACGGGCTTCTTCACTGGCAAGGCCAAGCAGCCCCTGCAGGTGAGCCCCTTCCGTGGTTCTATCCTCTTTGCCTCGCCAGTCTTGGCCCTAGCCAGTCTTGGCCCTAGCCAGTCTTGGCCCTAGCCAGTCTTGGCCCTAGCCAGTCTTGGCCCTTGCCAGTCTTGGCCCTAGCCAGTCTTGGCCCTAGCCAGTCTTGGCCCTAGCCAGTCTTGGCCCTTGCCAGTCTTGGCCCTAGCCAGTCTTGGCCCTAGCCAGTCTTGGCCCTTGCCAGTCTTGGCCCTTGCCAGTCTTGGCCCTTGCCAGTCTTGGCCCTAGCCAGTCTTGGCCCTAGCCAGTCTTGGCCCTAGCCAGTCTTGGCCCTAGCCAGTCTTGGCCCTAGCCAGTCTTGGCCCTTGCTAGTCTTGGCCCTAGCCAGTCTTGGCCCTAGCCAGTCTTCCCTCTACCCCCCACAGCCCAGGTTACCTTTTCCAAATCCCTCACCTCCCTGATTACTGCATGCTCACGCGCCCCTTCCCCTATGCTCTCTCCACCTTCACCTCTCCCGCTACAACCCCCCCCCCCCCAGGTGACCCTCTCAGTCGCCCTCACCACCTTCGGCTGCTTGATCGGAGCTCAGGGCGATTTCTCCTTGGACCTCTACGCCTACACACTCACGTCGCGTCTCGGCTTATGCTGCACTTTTAAAATCTGGCCCTAGTTCTGAATCCCTCTCCCCCTCCTTCCTTCCCCAACCCTACTCCAGGTCACTCTCATAGTCTCCTTCACGACATTCGGCTGCCTCATAGCCGGCCTGGCCAATTTCTCCTTGGACCCCTACGCCTACGCACTCGCCCTCACCTCCGTGCTCTCCCACACCTTCTACCTGCTCCTCTTTGAAAAGTCTGGGGCAGAGCAGGGTGCCTCTCTCAGTCTCCCTCACAGCCAGGGAAGAACGAGCGCTCTCGCCTCCCTTCTGTTTCCATTCACCCCACCCCCACCTGCCACCTCCCACCCCTCATTCTACCCCCACCTCAACTTCCAGGTCACCCTCTCAGTCTCCCTCACCACATTCCGCAGCCTGATAGCTGCGCTAGGCGATTTCTCCTTGGACCTCTACGTCTACGTGCTCGCCCTCACCTCCGTGCTCTCTCTGTTCTCTCTTCCCTTCACACCCTCCAGGTCACCCTCTCAGTCTCCCTCACAACCTTCGGCTGTCTCATAGCAGCGCTGGGCGATTTCTCCTTGGACCCCTATGCCTACGTTCTCGCCTTCACCTCACCTCCTTCCCTGTTCTCCCCACACTCCACCCCTTCTCCACCCCTCACTCTACTCTTCGCACCCTCAGGTGACCCTCTCAATCTCCCTAACAACCTTTGGCTGCCTGATCGTAGCTCTGGGCGATTTCTCCATGGACCCCTACGCCTACGCGCTCGCCCTCACCTCCGTGCTCTGCCAGACCTTCTACCTCCTCCTCGTCGAGCGCTCGGGGGCAGAGCAGGGTGAATGAACACTCTCACTCACCCCCGTTCCGTTTCCATTCACAACCCCCCCCTCCCGCCACCCCTCCTCCTACCCCTTCTCTCCCTTTCACTCTACTCCAACCCCTTCCAGGTGACTCTCTCCGTATCTCTCACAACCTTTGGCTGCCTGATCGCAGCGCTGGGCGATTTCTCCTTGGACCCCTACGCGTACGCGCTCGCCCTCACCTCAGTGCTCTGCCAGACCTTCTACCTCCTCCTCGTGGAGCGCTCCGGGGCAGAGCAGGGCATCTCGTCCTTTGAACTCATGTTCTACAACTCGCTGCTCTCCCTGCCGTTCCTGGGAGCCATTCTGCTCTGCACCAACGAGCTGCCTACCTCCGTGCCACTGCTCTTCACCATGGTACAGCAACAACCCCCTTCTCTCTAGTCTTGCACCACGCTGGTTTGGTTTCTTTGCCATGAAATCCGCTGCTGTTCACCCCTGTCTCTCTCCTCCTTTGAGCTCATGTTCTACAACGCGCTACTCTCCCTGCCGTTCCTGGGAGCCATTCTGCTTTGCACCAACGAGCTGCCTACCTCCGTGCCGCTGCTGTTCACCATGGTACAAAAGGCAATCCGTTTCTCTCTTTCTTGCACCAAGGGGGTTGGTTTTTCTGTCTTTCGTCCTTTGAGCTCATGTTCTACAACGCTCTGCTCTCCCTGAAGTTTCTGGGAGCCATTCTGCTCTGCACCAACGAGCTGCCTACCTCCGTGCCACTGCTGTTCACCATGGTACAACAACAATGCCCTTCTCTCTTGCACCTAGGTTGTTTCTTTCTCTGCCATTCAAATCGAGTCACCTCTAATCTTTCGTCCTTTGAGCTCATGTTTCACAATGCGCTGCTCTCCCTGCCTTTCCTGGGAGCTATTCTGCTCTGCACCAACGAGCTGCCTCACCCCGTGCCGCTGCTTTTCACCGTGGTACCGCCTCTATTCATCCCCTTCTCTTTCTCTTTTCACCATGGTACCGCCTCACTCCGTGCCGCTGCTCTTCACCATGGTACAACAACAACCCCTTTGCTCTTCCCTTTCTCTGCCATTCAAATCGAGTCACCTCTTGTCTTTTATCCGTTGAACTCATGTTTTACAACGCGCTGCTCTCGCTGCCGTTTATGGGGGCCACTCGGCTCGGCACCAACTTTTGAGAGGTCTCAAAAGTGCTCTCGAGCTGCCTCACTCCGTGCCGCTGCTGTTCACCAAGTTATTTTCTCTTCGTGCGGTCTAAGTTATCCCTTTCTCGTTTATCCACTTCTCTGACAATTCCCCTTCTCTTGTGTTCCTCTCTTTGTTTCCCAGGTTCGTTACCCATTTGACTTCCCTTTTTGTCCATGCTCATCCGCACCATTGCGAGCTCGTCCCATTCTCTTCACCCCTTCCCCCCAGCTACCCTCAGACTTCTTCCCTCCTCGCCTCCCTTTGCTCTCCCTCGCTTCCCTCCCTCCATCCCTCCCACCCCTCTCCCCGCTACCAGTGTGCCGACTCCAGTACATTCACAGTGGCGGTAACCGCATCGCTGGTGATGGCGCTGGTTCTAAACTACACCATGTTCCTCTGCACCATTGTCAACTCTGCTCTCACCACCACCATCGTTGGCGTGCTCAAGGGCGTGTTCACAACGGTACGTACTTTGCATGTTGAGATTGTATCTTTTCCCAGCCCATGCCATCCAACAGTTTCCCCTCACTCACATGGACCCTGAAGTACCTAAGTTGCAATGCTTGTGCATTTCTTTTTCTGTTTTCATGCACTGTCCCCTCAGATCTTCGGATTTTTCTTCCTTGGGGGCGTGAAATTCCAGTTACTCAATGTAACGGGTCTGTCTATCAATTCAGCAGGCGGTGTGTGGTATTCTATAGCCAAGTATCGGCAGAAACAGGCAAAGGTCCCCTCCTCACCCGTCCTCCCAACCACTCGGGACCAAGACCTTGGTTCTGACTCGCTAGAGACCGATCGTCTCATTGAAGCTTCTGAGAAAGTGCTAGATGGTATACCAAGTCGGGAGGAACAGGCGGCATCGTTTGTTGAGCCGCCGAAGCCATTGTAGGGAGGGAGGTATTGGGAAGGTGAATGGAACGTGGAGCAGTGTTGATGCATCTTGGATTGGATGGCAATCGGTAAATAACAACCAACAGCTTTTGACTAAGAAAATGGAATCTCACCACATGCATATAAACGGAAAGGAAATAAATGATGGATACAGATGGAGAAAGTCCTTGCAAACGGCAATATCTTGGGGATTACTGGGGCACGTGCCTTTCCCTTAGGATCACAGTAATGGTGGGCCGAGAGCTGAAATTGGTTTCTTTATTGATACCGGTAGCTGCAATAATTACAGCAAAACAAGAAGTTGGCTTCTGGGACCCATTACAGTGTCCTTATTACTGCCTGTTTCCCGATTCTACTCACACGTAGGTATTCCCTTTCCATAACCCTGAAACCCTACATTCCATAACTGGCCACGAACGGCGACGTCAGGAAACCGTTTCGTGTGAATATTCCCGTAGTACTTATTGGGGCGGTTAACGAGCTTCTGGAGAGCCGACAGCAGCGAATCCGTTTGATCAGCCTTGTTCTTCCCAAGGGAGCCCTCGCAGTGCCACTCGTTGCTGCCCGTCTTCACGCATTTGCACGGCAGGTCCACGAGCACGTCGCAATTCGTCCCCTTCTTCCCCTTGTGCACGTGCGTCTTGGTCGGCGGCACCTCGCCTGTCATTCGCATGGTATTCACCGTTTACTTGACCCACTTGGGCTTGTTGTCGTCATCCCTGATTAGAAGCAATCATGGTAGTTTTTGAAGAATTATAGAAACGCGCAAAAAAAGGTTGTGGGAATTCAGTGGAACCCGCACGAAAGAATTTGTGCAGTTCAAGCAGCGAAGGTCGAAGAAAAACAAGGAATTGGCCACTTCTGAGTTATTTCCGAAAGTTGGTGCATGGTCACCATCATAATGCACTGTCTCAAAAGGTGTTGCTCACTGGTAGATGCGCAGATTCATGTAGAAGACGCCACTGGGATCGCCGACGGCGTTCTTGGCGGCTTGAGAGTCGTTCTTGGTGTTGGAGGTTGCGTGGGGCGGTTTTGCCCCCAACCACCAAGCGGTGCTGTTTTTGGTGCTCACCTTTGAGTGAGCTGCAGGTTTGCGTGGGGTTGAAGTTTGACTTCGGAAGACTCCATAACTTCGGTGCCACATGGCAGCACGAGAAGAATCGAGACTGAAGGAGAATTCGATTCGGTGAAATTCGAGTTCCGGATTTCACCCCTTCGAAATGTTACTTGAACATTCGAGAGTGTAGCGACTCGAGGTTACATGTGCGACTCGATGCATTGCAGTTCATATAATTTTGTTTGCTTTGTATTGCATGGAATATACTGAACATTTTGAATCACTTTGTATGAAGTACATTCGAACACAAATTCCAGAGAGTTTCCAATCCTTCAACATAGAGCATAGCTTTCACATTAGTAGCCATATCTCGCTCTATACTTAGGTGATCGAGGTGATCCACGGCCCGTTGGAAAGCTAAGACAGTGCTCTACTGATTAGTACAAATCCCAGTTCCTGCAAAGTAGAGGAGAAGCCTCTACAACACTTGGGAACCTCGTTCACTCCGACTAAGGTGTTGCCTGTGGAGGCGGGAGCGAACGGGGATGACCGGAGCGAACGAGGGGGGGAATGAGGAAAGATGAGACGAGCGGAGAGGTGAGATGAGAATGCTAGGACAAGGTAAAACGAAGGGGGGACCTGATTTGATGCCCAAGTGAATGAAAAACAAGAAGACGTGTTTATTTTCGAGCAAGAAATGCGTTACACGGGAGGAGGAAAGAAAAGGAAACTGACCAATAACCTCGTCATCGCCGGCGTACGCGATTGTGAGCATCGCCGCGAGGAACGCTGCACACATCATGCCACGTGTGAGGGTTGTGAGAGGCTGCGGAATGAGTTCAAATTTTCAGATCGCTTTGAAGCATTTGCAGAATTGGCGAACGAGCAGTCATTGCGGCAAAGCCGTTGGAAAGCCCACAGTTCCAATCATTATGATAATGGCGCTGTCGCTGGCACTTACCTAACACCAAGACGCGAGGCGGAGTAAAGGCCATGGTTCAGAACGAAAGAGACTGCTCGGCGCTCCGAATGGAAGTCGGACGCAGTAGAAAGCACTGACTGAAGTCTAGTAAGAGGTGAATTAGTGCAAGCGAATGACCACGAGACGGTTTTCTGTTGCTATACCAAAATCGACCTAATTTGTAAGACAGCTGGTGGGGTGGAAGCTGAGACGGAGTGACGGCGACGCGATTCTAGTTGCTACCGAATCTGGTTCGAACCCGCATTGTATTCACCTCATACAATTGCATTGCTCCTCTATAGAAGCGTTTCAGAGGCGAAGAATGGCCAGCACGCCAATAATTGAAACACCGGCTCTTCACCACGCGAGATACAGTATTGCTGGATGAGTTTTTCATACACGTCTCTTGCGGGATGTGCAATACCTGCTCCTCTATAGAAGTGTTGCACGGAAAGACTGACCGCCAATAATTGAGAGACACTGGTTCCACCACACCACCCAGGGGTGGCGCTGGATGGGAATTCCCTCGAATTTAGAATATTGCGACTTGCGGGATGTGCAATACTCGCGAGTCGCGACGGTGGCTGGAGCTCAATTTCACGTCAACCCATCGCAAGCGCTCTGCCGTTTCAGCAAAACGTTCTGCATCCAAACGAAAACCTTTTGTACCGCACTGGAGTCAACACTTATTATGCACAACACACCCGAATGAATCCTGGGTGTTGGGCTCGCTCCCTCAGCAACCGAAACTAGGCGTTTTAGTATGCTGACGATTTGATAGAACCTCGTTTGTAAGTAGGAACACTTCCGCACAGCTTCTCCTACAGCTATTTTAGATGCAGATGTTTTCCAAACAGCTCAATGCTCTTGTGCATCCACCTGAGTCTTCACTCTTCACTCAAAATATAGCCACAATAGCCAGTGCATCAAAACATGCTGTTGGATTACAGGGAATACTAGGATTGCTGGTGAAGTTGCTGCTTTCTGCTACCATAGAAATCTTTATTGATACGTTATAATAGAAAAACAGGCCTGACCACGTGCTCTCTTATTATTGCACTCACCACCACAAGGAGTGGCAGCAGTACCTTAACTAATGTTTTCTACTAGAAGATCCGCACGCTCCATTTCCTACTCCTTCGTGAACTGACCACGGACGGCGCCATCAGGAAATCGCTTAGTGTGGATATTTCCGTAATGTCCACTAGGCTTCTTAACAATATCCTTAAGAGCCCTTAGCAGCGAATCCGATCGATCTTCCTTGTATTTCCCGAGAGAGCCCTCACAGCGCCACTCCTCGTTGCCCTTCTTCTCGTAATGGCACGGCAGGTCCAGAAGCATGTCGCCGTTCTTCCCCTTCTCCCCCGTGTGCACGTGCGTCTTGGTGGGCGGCATCTCACCCTTCAGCTGGCTTGTTTTCACCGTGTACTTCACCCACTTGGGCTTGTCGTCGTCCCTGAATGGCGATGACGCCAGGGGTAGAGACATCATTGAATCACGCACGAAGGTAAAGGGATAATCAGTGAAACGCCACAGGAGAGAAGTTTTAACAGAAGAAGGATTTGGTCTGCCGATGATGTGTTCCTCACTTGCTAACATGCGTGGTACCAACTAGTAGTAAGCACGCGCGTTACGCGTGTTACTCACAATGCTCACATGTAAGCTATGAGTCGACTCACAAGTCACCTTCGTCATTGCGCGTGTTACTACTCACATGTAGATGCTCAGCTTCATGTAGACGATGCCGCGGCTGTCACCAACGGCGTTCTTGGCAGCTTTGGAGTCGTTCTTGGGTACCTCGTTCGCTCCCAGCAGCTTTGATGAGAAAGTGTCTGTCGAGGCGCGAGAGGTGAGAGTGAGCAGGGTGAACGAGGAAAAGATTGTGCGTGAGATGTGAGGGTGAGAGTGAGGAGGTGAGTAGCTGCCGCGTTGGAAGGAAAACTTCCAGCACGGGTAGAACGAGGTGAAATGTGAAGGGATATTTGGCTGGGAAATGTGACGAATCAGACACAGAGTTCTTGGCGATCGAGCAGTGTGGGAAGGAAGGGAGCAAGAGGAACTGACCAACATGCTCGTGGCTGTGTGCGATTGCGAGCATCCCCGCGAGAAAAGCTGCACACAAACAAACACGCGATACGCGGATTGAGTCCAATGCTTGATATGGATACATCGTCTTCTTCATCGTCAGGCCATTTCTGTGGCGTTTCAAAAACCTTGATGAAATAAATATCGGCAGGTGAAGAACGCGGGCGAATGGGCTACGAAACAGTTGAGAAGTTGTGAGCCAAAATGCTGTCATGGACGCTTACCTAAGAGCAAGACGCGAGCAGGAATCGAGGCCATGATGCCGAAAAATGATATTCGTCGCAGCGTTTATAAGAAAACTGCGTAATTAGAAGGAAGGCGGACTCGGAGTCACTGCTTGAAGTCTAAGAGGCAAAGGATTCGAAGGCGGGTGGTCACAAAATGAATTGCTTGTTGAGTGAAATGCACCAGTTTATATAGTTTCAGTTGTAAGCCTCGCCTGGAGGGACTAGAAAGGCACGCCGCGGCAGCTCCAAAACAGACTAGGCACAGGAGCGAATTCGAGTCGCCAGAGCGATCTGTACTCAGCGTGCCACACTGCTCATATAATTGCGTCTCGCTCGTTCAGGTAAGTGCCTGAGCAAGGGCAATAATGCTGTGCAGGGTCTGGCATGGACTGAGGTGAAAGAGGGAGAGCATTTTGAGGAATTTGAGAAGTTGGTGCGGTTCAGGCCGGGGAAAAGTGGTGCTGCCAAATGTTTCGCGTGTGACGGGCAATAATTGTGACGCTGCTTGTCACGATACTGTGGCACCGTTCTGGATTAGTATGGAACCTTACTGAAGCGGAACGCAACTCATACAATCTCTACGATTGAACGCAACTCACCGCGCTCCGTGGTGCGACGTGAGACATTTAGAAGGATTCGATAACCCAATAACAAGCATGGCAGACTGAGATATATTACATGAAACAGGAACAGAACTCCACAAAAAACATAGAATACGAGTCCTGATCAGCTCGCCTAATAGTTCAGCCACCTGAAACTCTTCACTTGCCAAACCACAGCTGCCAATGCCTCCCTTTTTCCAACTGCCAAGAGAGGAACTCATGCAGCTCTGGATGATAGAAGCTGGGTTCTGAGCCACTCGTTTCCCTCCGCATCCCCCTCCAAAGCCTTGACCTGCACTGCTACTGCCTTCAATGCATCCTCTGCAGTCATCTTGTCGAGAGGTAGCGATGCAAACTCCCGAAGGAACTGACGTGCTCGCCGCACTCCCTCCCTCTGCTCCTCCCCTCCCTCCCGCTTACGCTTGGCTGCACCAGCACCCGCACCAGCACCAGCAGCAGCAGCGGCACCATGAGCAGCACCAGCATCAGTATCCGCACCAGCAGCAGTGCCATGAGCAGCGGGAGGGGCAAAGTCTTCGAGCTCCTGTGCCTTGGCTCGTGCCATGGCCACCACCTCGGGAGGGAAGTGTGCAAACTCAGCCACGTGGATGCCAAAGCTCTGATCACATGGGCCCGGTTGCACCTGGGGGAGGGAGCAGGAACAACAAGAACCGAGAAAATGCGAGCAAGGGGAGGGAGACAATGAAACAGGATCAAGGAATTTGTGAGGCGACTCAAAAACCATATAGATGTTATCAGCTAACAAGGGGAGGCAAAGAAACAAGAGCAAGAAAGCGCAGGGAAAGAGAAAGGAAAGGGAGAAATACAATAATGAATGAGCTGTTGAGTGCTCTTTTTGTAGGGTAATTGAGGCAACAATCACTCAACAGCTGATGACAAAAGATTCATGAGCTTCGAGAGCCATTCATGTAAGTGACCTTCAAATATGTATGCATACCACATATAAGGGGCATCAGTTCTTGAAATGGGCATACGGACCTTGTAAAGCATGGTGAGCTTCCTGGAAGCTTCGTCGATGTGCGCGCTGACGTGGAAGTTAGCAACACCACTGGAGGCATCGCGGGTCTCGAGAGCTGTGAGCTCGTGAAAGTGCGTGGCAAAGAGGGTGGGCGCTCTAGTTACATCCACTAGGTGTTCACAGATGGCCCAGGCGAGGCCTGGTGGGTGTGTGGGGGGGAGAGGGGGGGTGTAGGAGTGATGAGTGAGAGTGAGCTCGTGAAAGTGTGTGGCGAATAGAGTGGGGGCTTTAGTGACGTCCACTAGGTGCTCACAGATAGCCCAAGCGAGACCTGGTGGAAGGGGGTCGCAAAGAGGGTGGCGGGACACGAGACATAGAGGCACCTCGAGTCCCGAGAGCTGTGAGCTCGTGAAAGTGCGTGGCAAAGAGGGTGGGCGCTCTAGTGACGTCCACTAGATGCTCACAGATAGCCAATGTGAAGCCTGATGTAGTTTTGAGACGTCTCAAAACTTTTGAGAATTCTTTTGAGAATTCTTTTGAGAATTCTCAATAGCCAATGTGAAGCCTGATGTGGTAAAAGTATAGTTTTGAGACGTCTCAAAACTACACTTTTAAAACTGCTCACAGATAGCCAATGTGAAGCCTGATGTGGTAAAAGAAATCAGTGGGGCCTGGGAGCTGACACAGTACTCACATAGAAGGGCACGGGTGTCAGCTCCCGTGCCCTTTAAAAGAAAAGTGTAGTTTTGAGACGTCTCAAAACTGCTCACAGATAGCCAATGTGAAGCCTGATGTGCGGATGGGATCGAAATCAGTGGGGCAAAACAGACAGGGTCGGAAACAGTGAAGTCTTGGGTACACTGAGCTCGTGAAAGTGTGTGGCGAAGAGGGTGGGAGCTCGAGTGACGTTAACTAGATGCTCACAGATAGCCCAGGCGAGGCCTGCAAGGGGATGGGACGGGAACAAGCAGGGTGATCTCGAGCGCCGTGAGCTCGCGAAAGTGCATGGCGAAGAGGGTGGGTGCTCTTGTTACATCATGTGTGGATGTTCCTCTACCCAGCATGTCAATAATGACCAGCGAGTGCGGCGTGATGGCATGCAGGATGGCTGCTTGTTTCCAGTCGCCACCGTTTCATCTCTTTCTTACACCATCCCTCACAGCCTCGTTCATTCCGGACCATCCTTCTGGGCCTTCATTGTGTACGCCCTCAAAAGGCAAGGCAGAAACGTACTGAAGGCACCACATACGGCCCAGCTCGTCGATGATGACCAGCGAGTGGGGTGTGGCGGCATGCAGGATGGCTGCTGTTTCCAGCCGTCACTCTTTGGGCCTCACTTACGGAATCCAAGATTATGACTCACCAAATCCGTCATAAGTGACTTTTGAGTCGACTCAAAACTCACCAAATCCGTCATAAGTGACTTTTGAGTCGACTCAAAACTCACCAAATCCGTCATAAGTGACTTTTGAGTCGACTCAAAACTCACCAAATCCGTCATAAGTGGACGTTCCCCGGCCCAACTCATCGATGATGACCAGTGACTGCGGCGTGGCAGCATGCAGAATGGCGGCTGTCTCGAGCATCTCCGCCATGAACGTACTCACTCCCCTCAGCTGAGACATGCAAGGGAGGGAGATGAAGGGAGAAAAGAGCACAGGAGGGAGGAGGCATGGAGGGAGGAGGCAGGGAGGGAGGGAGGAGGCACGGAGGGAGGAGACAGGGAGGGAGGAGACAGGGAGGGAGGAGACATGGAGGGAGGAGGCACGGAGGGAGGAGACAGGGAGTGAGGAGACATGGAGGGAGGAGGCAGGGAGGGAGGAGACATGGAGGGAGGAGGCAGGGAGGGAGGAGACATGGAGGGAGGAGGCAGGGAGGGAGGAGGCAGGGAGGGAGGAGGCAGGGAGGGAGGAGACATGGAGGGAGGAGGCAGGGAGGGAGGAGACATGGAGGGAGGAGGCAGGGAGGGAGGAGGCAGGGAGGTCAGCAGCCGGCATGCAGGATGGCGGCTGTCTCGAGCATCTCCGTCAGAAACATGCTCACTCCCCTCAGCTGGAATCGGGCAGGGGAGAAACATCGAGAGAGGGAAGGAAGGCAACACAACAAGGGGCAGGTACGTTGTCTTTCCCGTCAGGATTGCGCCTGACTCCAGCATTTCTGCCATGAACGTGCTCACTCCCCTCAGCTGAAGGGAACAAGGCAGGGAGGAAGGAGCAGCAGTAAGGAGTGGAATTAGGTGAGGTGGCGTGCAGGGAGCAGAGCCGACAGGGCAGGGAAAAAAACCAGTATAGGTGCAAGGAAGGGTCATCCCCCTTTCCTTCCAACTTTCCCATTCAAGCACCCCCTCACCTGGCAATCGCCAGCGCCCACGCGCGCAAAGATGGCATCTCGGATGCTCACGTGTGCACGAGAGCACGGCACAAACGAGCCCACCTGCGCCATCAGCACCACCACCCCCACCTGCCACACACACAAGGGGTGAGGCAAGGATGAGGGATTGCGTTTTGAGGAGCTTTGGGTCTGCTTTGCTCACGTGTGCACGGGAGCAAGGGATAAAGGACCCCACCTGTGCCATCAGCACCACCACTCCCACCTGCGGCACGCAAGCGGGGGTGATGGGACAAGGAAAACATGTGCTGGGGCGACTCAGAAAACCATCTGGGGCACCACTCCCATCTGTGGCAAGAGCGGGTCGAGGGGAGGCTTGGATGCAATAGAAGGTCGAGAGTGCCAATACCATGCACATAGGCTGAATGCGTCTTTTGAGAATTCTAAAAGAAGTCATTCGACATACCACTACCATTTGTCTTTTGGATGCTTAGGGTTTGAGGTTTCATTCTGTGGCTCGGTTCCATTCTTAACTCTTTTGAGGCGCCTGGAAGCTCGCTTCTGGGCTTGGTTCCATTTTTGAAGCGCCAGAGATTAACTAACAAGCAGCTCTTCTCAACACACAACGCACCTGGCGTATGAACGTTGACTTGCCACCCATGTTGGGCCCTGTGATTATTTGGAACCAGCTTCGCCCCCTCTCCTGGTGGGGTGGGGTGGGGTGGGGTGGGATGGGGTGGTGCGGTTGTGTGGTGGGGTGGGGGTGGTGAGGTGCCATTGAAACAGCAACAATCAGCAGCGTCTGTGGTACCACCGTGCTGGGTGATGATCTGAAACCAGCTTCGCCCCCTCTCCTGGTGGGGTGGGGTTGTGAGGTGGGGTGGTAAGATGGCAGTGAAACAGCACAATGATTTGCAGGGTGTGAGGTACCACCATGCTGGGTGATGATTTGAAACCAGCTGCGCCCCCTCTCCTGATGGGGTGGGGTGGTGGGTGAATGGGTGTGTGAGTGGGTGGTGGGTTAATAGTTAGTAAGTGGGTTGCCTTGGGGTCCAGTGGGGTGCTGTGAGGTGATGGCAGATGGGACAGGACGAGAGCAGTTGATTGACAGCTGAGAGCCAAGAAGGGACCCTTGCCAGATGCTGAGAAAATACAGGTAAGATTTTTGAGGCGCCTCAAAAATCAAGAAGGTACCCTTGCCAGATGCTGAGAAAATACAGGTAAGATTTTTGAGGTGCCTCAAAAATCAAGAAGGTACCCTTGCCAGATGCTGAGAAAATACAGGTAAGGCTGAGTGGAGGTATTCTCGCTTTGAGAGGTAAAGCACCACACACGGGGAATGGGCAACACACCAGGCGGCAGTGGTTGGGAATGAAGCTGACGTCATCCTGCACCTCCACACATGGATGCCGGCTGTCCTCCAACACTAGGTCGCCCTCCTCCTGATGACATGCCATGCCATTCCATGCCATGGCATGTATGTCATGCCGTGCCATGCCATGCCATGCCATGCCATGCCATGCCATGTATGCCATGCCATGCCATGTGATGCGCCAAGAGATGGGAAGAAGGGGGAAGAGGAAGGGAGAGGAACAGCAAAGTGGAAAAACTGCAGCAAGGCAAGAATGGAAGCCAATAAGGCATGGGAGAAACAGGTCACTCACTGGCCACACAACAAGTTTGCAAGGCACACATTTTTTGCTCCAAGGAACGCGATAATAACAGTGTGATAAACACTTTTCCCCAACCCAGTTCCAAGATCCGTACCGGGCCTGAGATGGAGGGTCGGACATAGGGAGTGGGTGCCGACGCTGCAAGCTCGGCAAAGCCCTGAAGCACGTCCATCTCGGCGATTAGCGCTGCCACGCCCTCAAACACCTGTTGGCATGCCAAGGAACGACAAGAAATGAGAGGAAATGCACATGATAGTACTCTGATAGGTTGTGTTTTGAGCGAACTCCAAAGGAAAGGCCCTGAAGCACGTCCATTTCGGCGATTAGCGCTGCCACGCCCTCAAACACCTGTTTGCATGCCAAGCAACAATAGGAAAGGCTTATGGCGTGTGCGTTGTTGCACACAGGGGAATGAAGACTATGATGTTTGATGTGTTTGATGTGTTTGATGTGTTTGATGTGTTTGATGTGTTTGATGTGTTTGATGTGTTTGATGTGTTTGATGTGTTTGATGTGTTTGATGTGTTTGATGTGTTTGATGTGTGTTGGGCGTGTTGTGAAGACTTCAGAGCCAAAGCCCTGAAGCACGTTCATCTCGGCTATGAGTGCTGCCACGCCCTCAAACACATGTTGCCATGCAGGGGAATGAAGGCAATCCGCATGGTTTTTGTGTTGTGTGATGTGCATGATGTGTGTGTTGTGTGATGTGCATGATGTGTGTGTTGGGTGTTGAGAAGTCTCCAAATCCAAAGGCCTGAAGCACGGCCATCTCACCTCCAAGAACGTGTGAGCCACTTCCACAACTTTGTTCACCAGCTCCTTCTGACCCATCACGCACTAGCCCTCAAAACCGCAGGCCTGAAGCATAAATCCCCAACGCCACCTCACTCTCAACCAAAACCCCGAATCCCTGAACCCAGAAACCCCAAACCCTTCTCTCACCTCCAAGAACGTTTGCGCCACTTCCACCACCTTCGCAACCAGCTCCCTGCTGAGCCGCCGTGTACCACATGACCCCATGAGACCCTTGACCTGAAGCATGGGTCCCAACACACTTGACTGTACACAAAGAGCCCGTAAACCCATCTCTCACCTCCAAGAACGTCTGAGCCACTTCCACCACCTTCGCAACCAGCTCCCGCTGAGCCGCCATGTACGAATCCGTGAGCGCCACGTGGCGCTTGCTCAGCCTCCTAAGCTTCGCATTCGTGAACTTAACTCCGTCCTTCCTCGTCTCCAGAGTCACATACGACGAATTCAGCTTCTTCCTAACGTTCGTCTCTTCTTTCTTCGTAATCCTGTAGCAATACCCCGCCTGCGCCGTCTTATCTAATTTAATCGTCTTATCCACTGTAAGACCTAAGTCGTTTGCTGCTTGCTGCAAGGCTCTCTGCACTTCGACTTCAACCCCCTCCCTCTCCTCTTTAATTTCCCCTAAGCTCGGGTCATAACCTGGTGCTATTAAGTATTCTCCGTTAGACTGTAAAGCTTCTAAGTCCACTGCTGCTTCCACCAGCCCCTCGTACTTAGCTAAGTGCTCCGCCCCGCACCACTCGAGTAGGCTCGCGCCGAACCTCTCGTGCAGCATCGGGCGGAACGAGCCTCCATGGGTTTCAAGCACCTCGCGGATGAATGGAAGGCGAATGCTGGCCTGGGGGAAGGGAGAAGCGGGCGTGGGGTGGAGTGGGAGGGATGGGTGTGAGGGGGGCGAGGGGGGAAGGGGAGGGAGTGCGTGAGATAGAGGACGCCGGGTGATATTTGGGTCATCTCAAATCATGTCTCTATTGGTTTCAAGCACCTCTCAGATGATTGGAAGGCGAATGCTGGCCTGAAATGAAGGGGGAAGTTGGCGTGGGAGGGGAGGGGAGGAGAGGGGGAAGGAAAGGAGGGGGGGGGGGGGGCGGTTGGGGGGGCGGGGGGGGTGGGGGGCTGTTGTTTCAAGGTAAGCGACATATGTGTTTAGATGGATTTGTGAGAGCATAGGTGGTTATCAGATGCTATGTCTGTCTCATGTGCACAATGACCCGCTCGCTACAGCCACACTCGTTAAAGTCTCACTCGGTACAGCCACACTCGTTAGAGTCTCACCTGGTACAGCTTAACCACGTCCTGCAGCCCAGCTCGTCGCATCTCCAACCTCCTCGTCAGCCTCTCGATATCCGGCATGCGTCTCAGATGCCCCCGCACCTCCTGCCTCATCCCCCCACTCTCTACAAACGACTGCACCACATCCAACCGAAACTTAATCTCATCCTCATCCACTAACGGCTGCTTCAGCCACCGGTTTAGTAACCTTTTCCCCATGCCCGCAGTGCACGTGCGGTTCATCAGTCCCATTAAGGAAAAGTTTCTATTTCCGTCCGTTTTGGATTCGGTGACGTTGAGGGCGCGGAGGGCGGTCGCGTCGAGGCGCATGTGCGTGTGGAGACTGTATGGGAGGAGAGTGTAACGCCCGTAGTTACTATCGTCTGCTAACAGATCAGCATAAGCGAGTACAGCAGCCATCGCAGCCCTCGCGATTTCAGAGTCTACAGTAACCTTCTGGCCTACTCCCCCTCGAACCCCTACTCCTGCTGCTCCCGTCATCCTCCCTCCGCTTCCCCCTCCGCCTCCGCCTGCGCGCCTTCCCCCTGCGCCGCTCGTTCCCCTTAAAAGCCTCCCCAGGTCTTGCTCCACGTCGCGCGGTTTAAACTCCGCCCGTTTCCGCTCAACTATAAGGACGTTGCACCGCGACATCACGTCTCTTAATCTCCGCGCTTCGAGCGACTTGGCCCCTTCTTATCCACTCCCCCGCCTCCGCCTCCCCCTCCGCTTCCCCCGCCCCCTTCTTGCGGAACCACGCACTCTCGACAGCTCAGCGCGACGATCCTGTCCCGGACCTACCCCGGCCCCGTCGCGGCCCCGTCGCGGCCCCGTCCCGGACCTGCCCCGGCCCCGACCCTGTCCCGGCCCTACCCCGGCCCCGTCGCGGCCCCGTCCCGGACCTGCCCCGGCCCCGACCCTGTCCTGGCCCCGTTGCTGCCCCGTCCCGGACCCTGCTCGGCCCCGAACCTGTCCCGGCCCTGTCACGGCCCCGACCCTGCCCCAGCCCTCCCTCGACTCCGCCCCTGGTAAGAGCATATCAGGGCCGAGCCGCGCTGCCGAGCCGCACTGCTTTGCCGAGCCGCCCTGCCGAGTCGCGCTGTCCTGCCTAGCTCAGTTGCACTGCTGCCGCTGCTAGTCTGCTGCTGCTCCTATCATGGCTAGTCCTAGTCTTCTTACCTTTGATGCTGAGGGTCGAGCGGTTGACTTCGATGTCTGGCTAGATGATCTGCAGCTTTTCCTACAGTGCGATAGCAAGGATGGTCTCTCACTGTTCGATCTCACTTCTGGCGCCTCTACTGCCCCTGCTGCTGATGCTGACAGTGCTGTTCGCTCGCAGTGGCTCACGCGCGATGCTGCTGCCCGCCTTGCTGTGCGTAGTCACCTACCGTCTACTGAGCGCGCGCACTTTAGTCAGTACAAGAGTGCTAAGACTCTGTACGACGCTGTAGTTGCACGCTACTCTTCCCCTGCCACTGCTGCGCTTAGCCGCCTCATGTTACCGTACCTGTTCCCTGACCTCGCCGCTTTTGCCACAGTCACTGACCTCATTACGCACCTCCGCACTAGTGACACTCGCTATCGCGCTACGCTTCCTGCTGAGTTCTGCGCCCAGAACCCCCCCCCCGATGTACATCACCCTCTACTACCTAGTCACTCGACTCCCTGACACTCTTCGCTCGGTCAGGGACCACTTCCTCTCTCTTTGCCCTACCACCCTCACTGTCGACCTCCTCGAGGAGCGCCTCCTTGCAGCAGAGACTAGTATTACCGCTGTAGGAGCCTCTCGTGGTGACCCCCGTACTCCTTTCTTTGAGGGGTGCTCCCCCGTTCCTCTTTTGCCCTCTGTTGCCTCTGCTGCTGCTGTCGACCTTGTTGGCACCGAGTCGGTCAGCGCTGCGTCTGCTCCTAGTGAGAGGCGCCGCACCAGCAAGGGCAAGCGGGGCAAGGGCGCTGGAGGAGGTGGTGGGGGCGGCGGTGGTGGCGGTGGTGGCGGAGGAGGGGGTGGGGGTGGGGGTGGTGGCAGAGGTGGGGGCTTCGGTGGCAGCGGTGGAGGTGGAGGCGGCGGTGGCGGTGGCGGGAGGGGTGGAGGAGGCGGAGGCGGCGGCGGCGGAGGTGGAGCTGGTAGAGGCGGAGCTGTGCAGCGGGGACCCCAGCAGCAGCAGCGCTCTCGTGAGACCCCGTCGCCCCAGCAGCTTCGTGAGTGGTACGCGGGGCGCCAGGGGTCTGGGGGTGCTGGTCCCTGTACTTACGTCCTGCGCACCGGCAACCGCACTGGAGAGCAGTGTGGCGGCCTGCACGCCACCGAGCGCTGCTTCGGTCGCCTGACAGACGCCTGGCGTGGCCAGTTCCCGGACGCCACTGAGATCCCTCGTTGGGGTGATCTGCTCAGGTCGGGTGTAGCTATCTTTGATCTTGACTTTGATGCTATTCTTGCTGCCATGTATGCTGTGTCTATTAGTGCTGAGGGTGACTGTTACGTGTGTGTTCCGCCTGACCCTGGTATTGAGGCTGCTGCTCTAGGTGCTCGTGAGTCTGCTGCTCCAGGTACTCGTGAGTCTGCTGCTCTAGGTGCTGGTGAGTCTGCTCTCTCAGGTACCGCGTCGACGCAGGTCTCGCACACCTTCACCCTCGACTCGGGTGCTTCCTGCTCCTTCTTTCGGGACCGCACCACCCTTACGCCGCTCAGTCGGCCGGTTGCGGTCTCCCTTGCAGACCCCTCTGGGGGTCCTGTTCTTGCTCGCTACTCCACTGTCCTCCCGTGTCCGGCGGCCCCGTCCGGCTCCCTGTCTGGTCTCTACCTCCCCTCGTTCTCTACGAACTTGGTGAGTGGTGCTGACCTTCAGGATGCAGGGGTTGACCAGTTCACTCCTGCGAATCAGCGAGTGACCCACTATTCGTGTGCTCAGACGGGCCGCCACTTGACCACGTTTACCCGTCGACCGGGGTCGAGCCTGTACACACTGACCACAGAGTCTCCCCCGGTTGCTGCGTCTGGTCAGGTAGCTGCGTCGAGTCAGGTGTTTGCTGCAGCGTCTCGGTCAGGTCCTGAGTCTGCCCTCTGCTCGTGTCGCCTCCTGTCCCACCAGACCCTCCTCTGGCACCACCGCCTTGGTCACCCCTCCTTGCCTCGTCTCCGAGGCATGGCCTCCCGTGTCCTTGTCTCTGGTCTCCCCCGGTCCCTCCCTCCCCTTCCCCCGGGGCCTGCCCCTACCTGCGTTCCCTGCGTCGAGGGGCGGCAGCGCGCCGCTCCTCACTCCTCCCAGTTTCTCCCGACAGAGGCTCCGCTGCAGACTCTTCACATGGACGTGTGGGGCCCAGCCCGCGTCCGTGGACAGGGTCACGAGCGTTACTTCCTGCTGGTGGTTGACGACTACTCGCGTTACACCACTGTCTTCCCCTTGCGCAGCAAGGGTGAGGTCACTGAGGTGTTGATGGACTGGATCCGCGTTGTTCGTCTTCAGCTCAGAGAGCGTTTCGGCTCGGACTTTCCTGTTCTGCGTCTGCACTCCGACAGAGGCGGAGAGTTTTCCTCCGACCTTCTGCAAGCCTTCTGTCGTGCGGAGGGCATCCGCCAGACGTTCACGCTTCCGGCCTCTCCACAGCAAAATGGGATTGCTGAGCGCCGCATTGGCATGGTCATGGATGTCGCTCGTACGTCCATGATCCATGCGGCTGCTCCCCATTTTCTGTGGCCGTTCGCGGTTCAGTACGCGGCGCATCAGATCAACCTTCAGCCCCGGGTCTCCCTGCCGGAGACCTCCCCTACTCTGCGGTGGACGGGGAAGGTTGGTGATGCGTCTGCGTTCCGTGTCTGGGGATCTCGAGCTTTTGTCCGAGACTTGTCTGCGGACAAGCTGTCCTCCCGTGCTGTTCCTTGCGTCTTCCTCGGCTTTCCCCCTGACGCGCCTGGTTGGCAGTTTTACCACCCCACCTCGCGTCGTGTTCTGTCCTCCCAGGACGTCACGTTTGACGAGTCGGTTCCGTACTACCGTCTCTTCCCCTACCGCACTGCCCCCCTCCCCCCCCCGCCGCTCTTCCTCGCTCCCGGTCCCCCCCCGGTAGACCCCCTCCCCCCTCAGGGTCCTGCCCCCTCAGGTGTGTCCCAGGTAGATGCCGTCGAGCCTGTCGAGGTAGCTGCTGACTCTGGTGCGTCTGGGGGTGCTGAGCCTGAGCGTGTGGAGCCTGGGGGTGCTGGGTCTGGGGGTGCTGAGCTTGAGCGTGCGGGGCCTGGGGGTGCTGGGTCTGGGGGTGCTGAGCCTGAGCGTGCGGAGCCTGGGGGTGCTGCTTCTGGGGGTGCTGAGCCTGGGGCTGCTGGGAGTGGGGGTGTGGAGCCTGCCGGTGCTGGACCTGGCGGTCCTTCGGGTGCTTTGTCCCGGCGGGAGCTTCCCTCTCCACAGGAGCTGCGCGAGTGGTTTGCTCGGCATTGGAGCCGTGCTGCTGGAGCTCGAGGTGCTGCCGGTGCTGGAGGTTCTGCTGCTGCTGGAGGTACTGGAGCTGGAGGTGCTGCTGGTGCCGGTACTGGAGATTCTGCTTCTGCTGGGGGTGCTGGAGCCACGGGTCCCGGAGGTGCTCGTACTGGAGGTACTGGAGCTGCTGGGCCTGGTGGTGCTCCTGGTGCTGGAGGTACTGGTGGAGCTGGAGCTGGTGGTACTACTGGAGTGGGTGCTACTGGAGGTACTGGAGCCGGAGCGGCTGTGTCTGCTGGTGGTCCTACTGGAGCTGGAGCTGCTGGAGGTACTGGAGCTGGTGGTGCTGCTGGAGTTGGAGCTGCCGCTGGGGGTACTGGTGTTGTCCCTGCTGGTTCTGCAGGTGCTGTGCGGCCGCGGCCGTACTTCGTTCCGCTCCTTGAGCAGGTTCTTGGTCTTCCGCCTTCTTATAGTCCTGCTCCTTCCTTAGAGTGTCCTCCGCCTGTCCAGTCCGAGTCACAGTTACAGCTGGTCTCCCCTCTGCCTGCTCCTTCTCCCTACGCTGGTCCTACTGGAGGTCTTGCTGAGCGTCGTGAGCCTGAGTCGCGTCTTGCGTCGCCTGTTCGCACTGCTCGCACTAGTCGTCGTGTTCCACGTCCGCGTCCTCCTGCAGTCCCGGGCACGCATCAGATGGCACTGCGTCCTTCCACTGCGCCACAGCGTGTCCCTTTGCCGTCTCCTCCAGATTCCTCTCTTCCTGCTCTTGCTGACCCGGCGTCTGACTCCCTTCGTGCTGCCAGTCCTGCTGTCACG